GATGGAATGCAATTTGATTTTATCATTATTAAAGATAATCTAATTGACCCCTAACTATATTCCTTTTGTTTTTACATGAGAGTTTGTCATGGTTTAGTTTTGTTGATTTGAATTTTCATTACTTTTGTTTATAAGGATTACAAATGGTAACTCACAAAAAAAAAAAATCCAAGGAATGGGAAAACAACCCAATTTTGAGGGGAAGAGCCCCCTAGCTTTCTTTGCTAACTCCTAACCAATCCGTTGCCTTGATAGTTTCCTTCTCTTTGGATTAAATTTAAAAATTTAAATTATGAAACAATGAAACGACATATATAAGATATAAATAGTAAATATATAAGTACATTTTGAAATTTTGACAATAATTATATATATGAATTTAATAAAATAAAAAAAATATATTTTATATTTTTATATTTATACAAAATGTAACATATAATTTTTATACAAAACTAGATATAAATACATAAATTTTAATATATTATACAATATAAATATACAAATCATCTGACATACTCTGATTCAAACAACTAAATAAAAAATCTAAAAGGTGGGATGGCATAATTAGCCCACAAGGCAATAATCTGGATAAGCGAGATCAAGCTTTGGACAGTCCATTTCTATCAACTTTTGCCAACTTGAAAGTCTATCCTAGTTTGCCTTTTTAGTCCCTAATGGTTTAATTTGGGCCTTCACCACCAGATATGGGCTTAGTAATTCAGCCTAAAAAAAATATTGTTTGCGTGCCTCTTACTTTGGGTTGCCCAAAACAAAAAAAATATAGTAGAAATCGGTTGGGGTTGAGCCATCAAAACAAATTGAGGTGGACGAGCTGTGTTATTTATGTACCTAGTTAAGCTTTTAACATCTAAAGATCCAACCGGTGGTTGGTTATAACCGCCACTTTGCCACCATCATCACCACTCACCAAACTCCACAGAGGAAATGAAGCTCCCCCCTCCCTCCCCTTCTCGCCACCTCCATTTAAGGGTATTTATGTCATTTCAAAAACCCACTCGAACCCAAGGCTACAATCGTCATTTCAAATCCGAATGCTCCTCTTCCCTTCTTTTTTCTTTCATTTTTTTTTTAAACATTCATGAGTTAAAAACCAAATCTTATTTCGTAATTTGCTTATATTTCAATCTCCCATTCCAAACCCTGAGGAGGTGTTCGGTATCGATCCCACACCTCTTCAGAACAAAGCTAAGAAAAAAAAAACACATTTTCTTTTTAAAATTCAAAAAAAAGAAGAAAAAGAAAAACATCGATGGCGTCGTCCGATAGCCTGACCGACAAGAACGTTGTTTTCAGAAAGCTGAAAGCAAAATCAGATAACAAGGTCTTTCTTTTTTAATTTTAATAATTTTTTAATACATGTTTTTAGATCTGGAAATTTTGTTACTGGCTCTTCGATTTTGATTAGTTTTTATTGTTTCTTTTATTTTGTAGATGTGTTTCGATTGTAGTGCGAAGAATCCGACATGGGCATCAGTGACATATGGGATCTTTCTCTGCATCGATTGCTCCGCCGTTCATCGGAGTCTCGGTGTCCACATCAGCTTTGTCAGGTATTATTAATTTTTAATGCGTTTCCGTTTTATTTTGTGTATCCAAAATCTCAATTATGATTGAAAAAATTGGAAATTTTGTGAGATCATATAGGGGAAGCAAAAGGCTTTGTTTGCGCTTTTGATTCATTTTTTTCATAATTTTGAAAAGATAGGCTGTTCCTATGTTAGTTTTTGTTCTTCCTTTGATATAATTTTGAAAAATGCTTAGAAATGTTCCTTTTCTAGGGTTTTGACTTTTGATACGGGAAACCCTTTTTGTAGAGATTAGTCTGCTATCATATGTAATCTGCCTGTGAAATTTTGTGGTAAACAATGTAGCATGCACATTACTTACCTGTGTTCAATTTTCTGGCTATTACATATTAGGTTTGTTGGTGCTCACGTTTTGGCAAATTTGAAGGTACAAAATCACTTAACCACTTTCTCAAGAGTGCCCTCCTTAATGGCCAAAAAAGCAAGAGTCTTTTAGATATTTCGTGTTTATTGTGAAACATGCTAATTAGTGAGTACTTAAGAGTCTTGTGATGTCAAATTGTCAATACCATCATACCATGTCCCCAGCTGCTGCTTATATCCTTAAGTATTTGTGTTTCACTCTTCTTGTTATGAAAAAAAGTATAATTTTATGCAGGTCTACAAATTTAGACTCGTGGTCTCCTGAACAATTGAGAATGATGGTCTATGGAGGAAACAACCGTGCACAAGTTTTCTTTAGGCAGCATGGATGGACTGATGGAGGCAAAATTGAGGCCAAATATACTTCAAGAGCTGCTGATTTATATAGGCAAATACTATCAAAAGAAGTCGCTAAAAGTATGGCAGAAGAGACAGGCTTGCCTTCATCCCCTGTTGCTTCTCAGTCATCTCAAGCATCTAATGGACTTCTTGATAGCAAGACTGATGAAGCTCCTAAAAAAAGTTCTCTAGGCAGGCTAGAGAAATCAGATGTTTCTGCTGCGACAAAAGCTTCTCATACATTTGTTACCAGCTCTGTCAAAAAGCCTCTTGGTGCAAAGAGAACTGGGAAAATTGGGGGGCTTGGTGCCCGAAAGCTTACTAATAAGGTATTAATTGCGGACCTTTGTGAGCAATGCAATTACAGTGGAATGATCATAAGGATATCTTGATTAAAGTAATTACTTATTTTGGGAGTTGTTTTAAATGCCTTTCCTCTTGACAACATAGTTCTCTTTATTGCAGCCAAGTGAAAATCTCTATGACCAGAAGCCTGAAGAACCAGTTGATCCTGTTGCTTCCTCAACTAATAACACTACACCATTGGCTCATCTTTTCCATCTCGTTTTGAGTATGTAGAAAATGTTCAATCTACTAAGTTGAATTCTGATGGCCCACAAGTGCTTAGCCATGTTGCTCCACCAAAGTCATCAAGCTTCTTTGCTGAATTTGGAATGGACAGTGGTTTTCAGAAGAAATCAAGTTCAAATTCCTCAAAAGTGCAAGTGAGTAATATTTCCTCTCTCGATGACCAAGAACTTAACATATTTTGTGTATAGATGGCTGATTAGTTTGATGGAATTGTCTCCTTTTGGTTTTAGAACATCTTGCTCTACTTTATGATTCTTCATATCACTCAAGGTTAATTGCAAAACCTGTACAGCTATAGACGTTTTCAACTGCTTAGGCTTTTAGCTAAAGTGAAGTTGCATATTTCCTTGAAAATCAAATTTCAAGACATAGCATTTAAATTTGCAAGCTGTGTTTATGGTCTCTTTATTCTAACATAATATTACGAGATACTTGAATCTACTTAGATGTGTAACTTGTACCTTCCAAATTGATGGACTTTAAATGGAAAATGTTCCCATATTGGACATGTCCTTGTAATGTAATGTATGAGAATTTGATGGGAGGGAAGTTTTGTATGATTATCTTTAACTTTTATAATTGCCCCCTGTAAGAGGTTAATCTTAGTTATTATTTCTGCTTGTATCTGCTCCTGCCTTTTTCATTTTGTTTCTTATTGCTTGATTTTAACCTCAGATTCAGGAAACTGATGAAGCTAGGAAAAAGTTCACAAATGCGAAATCTATTTCCTCAGCCCAATATTTTGCTGATCAGACCAGAGCAGCAGACAATGATGCTAAAGTTACTTTGCAGAAATTCTCAGTATGTGCAGTAGCTATTCCTTTGTTGAAAGATATCATCATTTTTAAGGCTTAAAAGACTATCCATCTATTAGTAATTTCTAGTACCATTTTATCATATCTTTTTCCTTTCTTAGTTTTCTGGTTGACGGTATGCTGTAAACAAAGTAGATTCTTAGAAGAACGGTAATCATAAACTTTTTTTAGCATCACTTATTTATGGTAAGGTAGCAAAAGAAAACATTAATTTTTGGAATCTGCTATCTTTCTTTAATCATCTTTAACTAAGATCTTTAGGCATAATTAGAAATAGTTAGTAATCCATTTTTCAGTTCAAGGGCTGTGAGAGCAGTAATAAGTGGAAATTGATAATATGAAATGTGGTTTTCTGAGATTAATAGCAATCTTGTTTTTTTTCAGGGTTCAACAGCCATCTCCAGCGCTGATCTATTTGGTCATAGTGCAGATAATTCTCTTGACCTCGCTGCTAGTGACCTAATCAACCGACTCTCTTTCCAGGTCTGCTTTCTAAATTGCATCTTTTATCCATCACCTGAGTTTTTATTAGTGCATATGATATTTAGAAAATTATCTTATCCTGTTTTTTTCATTGTTTTCTTATCTTGTTAACTTGATTTTTTTTAAATAAAAAATGTAACTTTCGGGCACAGCAGGATATCTCTAACCTTAAGAACATTGCGGGAGAGACGGGAAAGAAACTCAGCTCCTTGGCATCCACTCTTTTTACCGATCTCCAGGACAGAATCCCGTAATGTAGTGTTTTGGCCTTGAAAAAAATATATTATGAGTTTGTTACGTCACAATCCAATGTCCATTTTAGTGAATGTAAGGCGATCTCATCATAAAATTCTTTCACAGGGCAAATAATATTTTAAAAGCATCCAGGTTTATGACAGGCCGGTTTTCTTAGCACAGGTGCTGTTTTAGGATTTGATAATTTGTACTATTATTAGTCTTGTCTTCATTTAGCAAATCGAATGCTGTGTATTAAGAGAGGTAGGACTTGAAACAGTCAACTATGTTGGTGTTTAAATTCTGTCCTTGCGGAACTGTATAATTCAGAAATTTTGATAATTTAGAGGACAATGTAAGGGCAAGAGTGTTGAATTTTCCATCTTTTATATTCATCTCTCGGTGTTTAATTGTAAATTAGAAAATCTTGATGTATTCTAAATTCTTCAATCTGATTATCTTGTCGAACGGTACTGACATTTCAGTTTGGTTTTGGTAAAAAAATTGTTAATTTAATGGTTGAGCCAGGAAATAACACGTAGGAACCATTAAATTGGTTGTTAAAGCTTCTCTTCTCTGTTCTTCCTCTTCTGTGGTTTTTCCATGGTAATGGCCTAATAAGGAAACCCTCCTCTGAATGCCTGCGTCCACCGAAAGGGAGAGTTCGGCTGCAAAGAGGTAAGCAGTGAAAAACAATTACTTACTATTTTAATCACAGGAGGAAGACAAATGGGTTTTTGGGGTTGAATTTGGATTTCGCAAGCCCAAGAAAAAGGGCTTTGAAGCCCAAACTTTTTTTCCATTTCCTGTTTGGATTGGAAGCTCAAGACATTAATGGACTTAAAAGGAAAGCCCGAAAAGGTTTTTCTGGCCCGAAAAGCTTAAAAGAGATTTTTTTGTTTTTAACCAAAAAAACAAAAAAAAACCCTAGAAAAAGGAGGGTTTGACCGAAACCGGTAGCCAAACACTACTATTTAGTTTTCTCTTTACAATCTACAGTATGCAGCATCGCAGTCAATGGATGAAATATCTCTCTCTCTCGAAAAAGCCAAATAAATGGCGGCTTAGTTTTCCCTCCCAATTCAAAATCTTCCCTTAAAAAAAGGTTTTGCAAACAACCCATTTTTTCAATTTCCCTCCGCTGAATTCCCTCTTCGATTTTTTTTTCTCAAATCAAAATTTCTTAATCCAACAAGATTGAGGATTCCTAAACAATTTCCCTTTGGAGATTTATATATTTCAATCTCCTCATTACTATTCTTTTTCTTCTTTCAAAGCTCACAGCAAAGTTCTACTATCTTTCAATGGAGACCCAAACGTATTTCTCCAAAACCCTAACGATAGATCATCCATCTACTTCAGAATCTTTTGTTTCTCAAGAGAATCTTGTTGGGTTCTCCCAAGTTTCGCCTTTAATGGCTGATTCTTTATCTGGGTCTTCATCAGTTTCCCCAATGATCGTAGGAGAAACCGTAGCCAATCCTCGTTTGTCTGAGGCATCATCAACTGATGATTTGTCTTCGTTAACTTCTCCGACGCCTTCGCCTTCTACTGAATCTGAGCCGTCACAACCTATGGGATGTGATCAGTTATATGGTCTCAGAGAAAACGAATTCACAACCCCTGGATCTTGGTATTCTACATGGAACCCATGGTGGTCGAGGCCCTTGTCTCCTCCTAAAGAAGCTTCAAGAACTGAAGATGAACCAACCGGGGTGGTATGTTCTTTTCTTAATCCATATGTATATTTTTTTGGTTGAATTGCAATTGAATAATTCAATTATTGTGTATTGGTTTTTAGGGTGCAGGGCTGGAAAATTTGGGTAACACATGTTTTATCAATGCTGTGTTGCAATGTTTCACTCATACTGTTCCGTTTGTTTTGGGTCTTCGATCTTTGAATCATCATGAGAAGCGTTGTGATCGTAAGACTCTTGCTTTAACGTCTGTTTCTTTATTTCCTTTGGAGGGTCTAGCTAATTTTGTTTTGTTGGAATTATCAGGTCGTATTGAGAGTTTTTGTTTACTTTGTGCTCTTCATGATCACATTGAGCTTTCGTTGAAGTCGTCAGGAGGAGTCGTTTCGCCTTCCAAAATCTTTGACAATTTGAACTGTATCTTATCATTAGGTTGATTAATTTATAATTAAGTTGGTTATGTTTTACTGTTTTAGGTGCTGATAAAAGTTAATAGGTTCTGTTCCAGCATTGAACTTTTAGTATATGCAACACTATATAGTTTGGCTTTTTTTTTTTCTTTAATTGTTATATTAATTTGATGAAATTGCCATGTTTGCTATCAATTTGCTTGGAAAGGTGCATTTGAAGTATAGAGAGGCGGCATTGAAAAATAAGAAAAAAGTGAAGCGTGTTCTTAAATTGTGATTCTTGACTATGACATCGCAGATATCTCATCTTGTTTCCAGAGATATGAACAGGAAGATGTCCATGAGTTTCCTGCAATGCTTGTTAGATAGGCTTGAAAGCTGTTGCTTAGACTCAAAGACCAAGAATGATTTGTCCTCTTCTAGAATGGATTGCCTGGTCAAGAAAGTTTTGGTGGTCCGTCTTGTTAGTAGAGTATGAATGATGCAACTTGATCTCGTTTAGTCATTCATTACGCTCCAAAGTTAGAATGTGGTCCTTTATTGACTATACCTTACTTTGATGGTTTCAGCTATGTTGTTGCAATTGTGGTCACATTTCTAACACTTATGAGCCTTTGAATGACTGAGTTTGGAGATTGAAAATGTGGACTCCCTTCCAAGTGCCTTGGAGTCTTTCACCAAGGTGGAAAGGATTGAGGATCTGGAGGCAAAGTTTAGGTGTGGGAATTGTAAAGAAGAGGTGTCGGTAGAAAAACAAATTTATGCTGGACCAGGCCTCCTTCAGTTGCAACATTCCACTTGAAGAGATTTAAGACTGAAGGGACTTTTGTCGAGAAGATTGACAAGCATGTGATGTTCCCACTAGAGTTGGATTTGCAGCCTTACACTATGTCAATGAGAGAAGTAATGTGAGTAGGCGCCTTTTTGACAACATCTATAAGTTTCTCTTGACAAATGTAATAATGATACTTGTATGTTTAATATTTTTAGTGGTGGGCTTTTATGGTTTATTGGACTAGTGAGCATTGGACAAGATAAAATTGATGTTTGATTAGTTACACTACTTGCTTTAGTTTATCTTTGGGTACAAAATTGCTATGTTTTGTCTCATTTCTTCTCCTTTTGCAAATAGGAGGAACTCAAGTATCAACTATATGCAGTTGTGAAGCATTCTGGATTCAGACCTACTTCTGGACATTATGTTTGCTATATTCGGTCCTCCCCAGATACGTGGCATGAGTTGAATGATTCAAGGGTAATGATTGACAGGGTTGTTCCATGTATAACTTACATTTCTAATTTTTCTAAGGAATAAATATGCAATAGATGCTATGGTTGTGAACTATTTACAAGATATATTTCTAGTTAAGCATTTCTTGATTAACATATCCTTACTAAGCAAGAAATAAGTGATTTGATTCACTGAAATTGTAAAATCTTACTCTGAAGGGTCAAATTAAAATGTCATATAGATTATAGATTTGAAGAATTCCAACTTATTTATGTGATTACATGCTAATATTTTGATGGAGCTTGAATATTAGCGCATAATTGTCATATTTTATCTTTTGTAGGTTACTAGTGTTGAAGAAGAAGATGTGCTTTCTCAGGAAGCCTACATTTTGTTCTATGCTAGGCAGGGTATACCTTGGTTTTCAACGGCAATAAAATTGCAAAAGCCTTGTGCAGACCCTGGTATTTCTGATTCTTCACCAAAGTCTGTTCTAGATAACATAGAATGTGCCTCCAATCCCGAGGTAGAAAATAGTGCTGATTGTGGTGCCAATGAATCTAAAGATGTTGCTGCTGAGGGGATTTCTGGAGCACCTGCTAATGAATCAAAATTTCAAGTATCAAAGTCCATTAACTCCGGAGATGGCAATCCCATGACTGATGCTTCAATACCACCAGCATCAAGAAATTGTTCTAATGAATTTGATAGAAATATATCTACTGTGTCTCATCTTGGGGAAAACAACTTCAATCAAAGTATTGATGAAGTTGCAAATGATAGTAGTTTCCCTCGGATGCCATCCAGTTATCATTGTCCGGATGAGTGTGAGAGAGACTCTTCAGGTAAAGGAATTCATTCATATTAAGTTATTTAATATGATTTTCTTAGGATAAGATGACTAGATGATTTACTTTTTCAGGATGTGGTCCGCATGGTTGTTTGAAAGAAGAGAAGCAAGGCATTCATCGAAGAGAAATCAACAGGCCTGCCGTGGATCAAGGAAGAATTGAAGCAGTGAGATATGCCAAAAGGATGCCTACTGTACGAGGTGCAAAATTTATGGCTTTGTTGGGTCCACAAACTGCGGGTAAAATGAAGAAAAGAACAGGATCATCTCCTTGCAAAAGAGTCAGCCCTCGCCGCAGACACAACCATAATCTTATGCGCCCGGTTCCTGTCTCACGCTGAACACTTTATCAGCCCTTTTGGTTAAATCCAATTGGTGGGTTCTTGACTATCACATAACAAATACATGGCATATATGAAGTTCACCATATCCTTTTTGCTATCTATTGTAATGGGTAGAAGGCTGATGTTGCGCTGTTTTATATTTAGGTCTGGTCAGGGAAAATGTTAAGTTTAGGATTTTGTTTGGGAAGTAAATATTATGGGTTTCATAAGGTAAATTTTGTTTACGATACAGTAATAACTATCGAGTCTAAGATTGTGACTGGTTCGATTCTTGCGTTGAAATTACAACAATGCTAAATTTAAAGTTGCTTAGATAAGTTAACTGGGGGTTTCAGCAAGATATTTCATTAGGTTGGCACTACTTCACTGGCACGTTGCAAAACTATGGATAATTTTCCTGCTGTTTTAGATCCCTTCACTCTTTCAATCGATAAATTCTAGACTAGAATACAAACCGTGGACAAATCTTGGCCTTGCTCAAAGAATCATGTTGGAATTTTCGTTATGGTAGAAAAACAACCTAGTTCGTGTCAAAAAGTACTAAGGTAAGCTCCTTGTTTCTATCCAAATTTTTTATCTTTTCACTCAGACAATCATAGGAAAAGTACTATAAAAGGATGGGGCTTTTAACACAAATCCTTCCTCTCGATCTTTTCTTTGAAGCATTGGTAGTAGCAAAATTAGAACTCTTCGGGAATTAACATATAGCAGATACGGTTCTCTTTATCAGATTCAGAGGAAAACGTAATTATCCATGTCGCTGCCAAGGTTTATGGGAAAGAACGGCTCAAAACTGGCAAATGATCTTAGTTCACCAGGCTCAGCTAATGTTCCTAAACATGTTGTGATAGTTATGGATGGCCTAAAGGAATTCACCACAGAGCTGCTAGAATGGGTGCTTGAAAAAATTATAGCACCCGGTCACATAGACATAGTCACCCTCCTTGGTTTCATGCCATGGTTGAATATTCCTTGTAAGTAATTTTCTGCTCCAGTTATGTAAGAATTTTTGGGCAGGGATAAGAAATTAAGGTAATACATGTCACTTGTTCTGTCTGCAGTGTCTCGAAGACCTGGCAAGATGTTTGGACTCTTGAATTTGAGCATCTGCCTCTCACAAAAGAGAAAAACGAGTGGAAGAATGATGCAAATATCTAAAGCTCCAAGCAGTGCTTAATCTTTGCAAAAATTATGGGGTATTGAATTTGAATTCTCTGGCTCCTGTCTATTTATCAATATGGTGGCTTTAAAATAACTGCTTTCAACATTTTACCCGCAGGTGGTGCCACAGAAAGAAATTGTAATGGGGTATCCCCTACCATCGCTCGTTGTCGAAAGAATCATAAGTCTTCGCAGCAACATGGGTTGTTTTTGACAGGTAATATTGGAGACACAACCGTGTTTGATTTGTTTTTCGCTAGTTATTTTTATTTTTTTTTTGTTTTGATCCTTATAAGATTATGCAGTAACCGGGATCTGAGAAAGAACAGGAAATTCTTTGCTGAAAAATACCCTGCAATATGGTAATGATAATCAGGAAGGGGAAATGGATATGATCAAAGGGTGTCCCATAATTGATAATGGAAAGCGCACTCCTAGTGAATCCCCAGCCTCATTGGTGCCTAATCCACTGGTGATATATTCTGAACCTTTGAAACGAATCCTGGAGGAGCAAGAGCTAGAGATAGACGATGATGATTAGTTCTTTCTTTAGCTACTGCTACTGATCATATGACGATTGTAAGCTATTGAAAATAGAACCCTCAGTGCATGAGGTGAGAAAGTAGCATTACTATGGGTAGGATTTAAATATAACAAGGCTATGGCCGGCCTATCAACTATGGCTTGTTTTCTCACCTGATGGCCCACTCCCTCAAACTATCATTGAGTTAAAAAAAAAGAAATTGGCGTTCGTGTGCGTACGTCTAAAATGCACAGGTCCCTAAAATGCGTTAAAAAAATGGAAAGAGATTTAGATGTCCGATTTGAAACATCCAATGAAAGCAGAAGCTTATTAGCATTTTTCTTACTGCCATCAAAACAAAACTAAACTTTCACGTTCAATGTGGGACATCTCCCCACTGACTTGCCTTTAACATCATAAAAAAAAAAAAAGGGAAGATGATATGGGGTTGCCTCACACAACTCGCTTTGATTCATGAACACCTCATATATATTAGATTTTAAGGAGTCGACAACTACCCTAACTTATTCGAATATGTTCATGGCATATATTGTGGGAATGATAAAAGATATAGAAATCATAGGAAGTTTTTCATTTGTTAGTAAGGGATGGTAGGGAGAGGAAGAAATGATTAGTGGGGTAGAAAAGGCGATAGTTGTACTCTTTTTTTCTCTTGGAGTCCTGGAAAATGAACTGTTTTACTTTGAGATCGATCGTTGATGGATCGGAGGGTACAATCTACGAAGTAATCGAGAGATCACGGATGCATCTGTGGTTGTGCAAAAAGGCATGTTGTCATGTACTCCTTGCTTGTACATTTGATTGTACCCTGACAAATATCCTCTCCATTACATTGGTTTATATGTAACCACGCTTGCTTGCTTTGCTTCCATCCCAACTTCACAAAATCTGTGTTGTCAACAGTACTAAACTCCTCAGTACGCAGCTTGTCTCCAAAGCCATGTCAGCATTTGTCTGGGTTCATTTGTCTGTTTCTCAAAAGCAATTGCTGCCACTATCGCAATTTAGATTACATGATGCTGTCAAAACTCCTTTTTTTTTTTTTTTTCCAGTTTTCTGGCCTTGGGTTGACTAATATCCATGACCTGATCCTCCACGTGTCACAAACCCAAGAATCAAGATTCTCTCGACACCTAACTTTCCAAATTCCCCTTGCTTCTCCACTGCGCCATCTTTCCTGCTTGGCTCGGGCGCCTGGAGACTTTCAAAATAAAAAACTATAAATATAACGGATCATTTTCTACAGATGATAGATAACCGATTCGAAAGAACATTTTTTTTTATCGACAACTTTGAAGCGTGTATATTAAACTTGCATGCTTTGGTGGCCTATTAACCGCCCAAAATAAATGCAGGGCAGCAAAGGGTAATATAACATTTGGTTTTGACTTTTGATCACGACATTGATCATCACAATAAGATTCAAGGAAACAAATATATATATATATATATATTTCAAAAGATCAGAAAGGAAAAAGACCATACAGACAATGTAGTAAATAGTGTGCTTTCATTTAATAAAGGGACCACAATATTGCTTAATATAAAGAAAAAAAATCAGAGGGATGCTTTAAAGTGTGTGGCCAGAAGATTTAACAGTTTGTCTGCTCGTTTCAGGATCTTTTATTGTCAATAAACAACCGAGGAAAACCAACTCTTGATCCACCTGCACAAGCACAAGGGGACAAAAGGGATCGATTCAGGTTAGAGGTCAGCTTTTGGCCTCTTTCGATAGCTCTTTGGGTTTTTGTTTATGCCCCTTTTTCAAGTGTCTTTTGGATTTCGGATTGCATTTGCTAAAGCTCTACATTGCTGGTTTTGGAGTTCAAACTATGGTTTAAATCCAATAGTAGATTCTGAACTCAAATATTCACAGCATCAAGGTTTGTGAAAGGTCCCACAAGAAAAACAAAGTATGTGAGTGGTTTCTGAAAATGTATAGTGTCTTTCTTCACAGGCATGTCTGGTGAGAAATCATGTTACGTCCCAGCTTTTGTTGTAGAATGGTACACACTGCTTTTGGGTGTAATTAATTCCATTTTGAAGGTTAATTTTTTTTTTTGGAGAAAATTTAGTAGAAAAACATTTTGTTCTAATTGAATAACTGTTTCAATGAGATGATTTTATTTTTTTAATAAATTTAAAAAATTTCTAACCTTATTACCTATATTAATTATTGTAATTAAAAATTGACAGTACATAAAAAGGGCATAGCTTAAATTCTGAATGACAGTATCTAATAGCTAGTAGGGAATTTTGCAAGAATGTTTTTGTTGTAAAAAGTTGGATAAAATCAAATTAATCAAACATTATAAAATGAATGGAGATGCCTTTCTAAGAGGGCTAACGTCAACCTAGTGAAAATAGATTATATTAATATAATACATTGGGTCCAATTAAGTTACTTCTTTTTTTTTTCCAATTTATAATATATTTTTCTATACATTATCAACGAAAATTTTAAATTTTATAAATAAAATTAAAACATTATCCTATATTTTTTATTTGTCATATTAATTTATTAATTATTTTAGATATATCATAATAAAGTTCACTATTTGTTATAATAATCTTTTAATCTCATTAGTAAAATAAACTTCACTTTTAATATATTGAGATAAAATAAAGTTTACAACGCCCTGGGTGTAAAATGTTATCGCAAATGAATCTTGTAGTTACTCAAATAGTAGATTTAAATATTTATGTATTCGAATAATATAAAATGTTAAATTTTATGTATTTAATTTTATATAAAAATTAAGTATTATAATTTGTATTAATATAAAAATATAAAATATATTTTTTAAATTTTGTTAAATTTATATTTAGTTATTATTAAAATTTTAAATCATATCATTTTTATATTTTAATTTTATATCATATTTTAAATTATCAGAATTACCACATCAAACAAAAATTATATCATATTTAAGGAATGAGGCACAAATTCTTTAGTGTTGTAGGGTAATAAATAAGATGGTTTATTACTTAGTTATTGTGCCATAATTTCAAGATAAATGGCATAATTTTGCACCATTAAAATCAAGTAATTAAAAATTTTTTAATTTAAGTTTTTTGTGTTATTATTGAACCACACTCCTTTGCCCATATCAATTGCAAGATTCAGAATGTGACAAAAAAATCAAATGCAAATTCTCAACTCTCTAACACCGAAAAAATTGTTATGAGAAATTTAAATAAATTGCAATAATACATTAACAATAATGTATTAAACACAAAAGAATTAAATTCCTTGGTCTGACCTTTAGCATTAGTTACAAAAAGTTTTAAAATATAGTCATATTTTGTTCCTTCCTATTGTTAATTTTTGACATTTACTTATTTACTATACAAATGATAAAGACAGAAAAAAAAAAACAAAAAAAAAAAAGAGTTAAAAGATATCAACCTCTGTACAAAGGAGAGTTTTCTTGGAAAGCCAATTTGGAAATCCTAGTTGGCCTGAAAACCTTCATCGGACTCGGGAAATACCAGCCCTTCCCTCTACTAGACGGGGATGATTTCAAATCTCCGTTGCTGGAATGTGATGTCATTGCCACAGACATTGACTTCTTCATCATCATCCTCCGTTCATCATCCGCCGCTATTCTCTCTTTCTCAATTTCTCTTTGATGATCTTCACTCTCGTATCCCTTACTCCTATTACTAGCTCTAAACATCGACCAAAAAGACGGCGTCTTGCTCTTATTACTCGCCAAAAATCCATTCCTTTCGCTTAAACTCTCCGGTTTCGATTGGAGAAAAGGAATCGCGAGGGATCTGGATCGTCGGAAGGCCGGCTCGCTTTCGATGAGATTGGAAACTCGACCGAGAGCGCCGACACCTGAGTTGTCCCCAGCAACCGCATTTGAGAAGCTAAAGAAGGAGAATGAGGAGGAAGATGAGGTAGCGCTACACGCGCAAGGACGCGCGTGGGCACAGTTGGGGCAAAGAGAAGCTAGTTTGTCTCGGAGGCAAACCGGACAGACTCCACTACGGCCTCGTTTGGAAGGATGCTTTGAACATTTCCAGACCTCTTCTTCATCGACGTAAAACACCATTTTTCCAGTGAAGGTATCACCTTTTTTATATTGCCACTTTCTTGAGAAAGCTTTTCCACTTTCCTGCACTAACTATTTGGTTCCCTTGCTCTTTTGCCGTAATATATTTGTGGCGTTCGTGAGGGTGGGGTTTTTATAAGGAAAGGTTTTGATTGGAGCAGATGAATGAACCATGGTTACTTCTATATCAGTTAGGATTTTAACCGTAGTTAGTTTCTAATTTTTCTTTTTTTTTTTTTCCGAGCTTTTGTTGTTAGTAGGCGTCGATTTGTAAATTATTGTAGTCTGACGTGAGAAAGATAAAAAAAATAAAAAATTAATTTAAAATTATAATATTTGATTTAATTTATCATTTTTATTCGAATTAAAAAATAAAAAATTAAATTAAATCATATATTTTTATTAATTTTTTATATATTTAAAATTTTTACAAAAGTAAAATAATTATTTTATATTTAAATATATTAAAATTTATATTAAAATAATTAACAAAAAAATAATGAATTAAATAAAATCAATTTAATTTTAATTTGAATCAAATTTAAAATTTTATATATTATCTAAAAATTTAAATCTAATTCAAAATTATCATCTTTAATAGGCCCTACAAAATATAAGCTAGCTGCCTAGCTTGTGGACTCGTGGGCGTATCGCGTGTTTGATAACTTTATTTTTTCTTTTGGTTTTAAGGGGGAGTAGAATCTTACAATAAGAGAGAAGGGGAGGTTGTAGTCAAAGTTTATTTTTTTTGACCATTAATAAAAAATTAAAGATATTTTATAATCTTATTACCGTATACGTATACAATTAAGGAATCGTTAGTTTATAAGCTCATAGTTGTAGGATTTGAGTAGTAGAGTAGGGTTGGTCTCAATTTGAAATCATCCACTTTTATAGCCCTTCTCTCTCGAGATAACTAGTACAGATATTTACATGCTGGATATGATATTTTCAAAGCGATTCATAACTATTTCTTTTCTTTCAATAGAGTTTGATGATGTAATTGTAGCTTTTTTAAAAAAATTTATAGATCCACTTCTCACAACACATAAATTTAAATAAAATTAGATTTTGAAAACGTATAAAGCAAACCAAGAAAACCGTCGACATTTCTTGTGGAAAGAATAAATGAGTAAAAGCCCATGCGAAACCTAATCTATCTTTTAGGGATCCAAAATTTCTGCCACCAACCCGTTATGCTGTTATGCTACTTTTAAAAATTGGCAAACTAAACATGGCTTCGTGTTGCCCAATTCTTTCCAACTCATTTTTTTTTTTTTTTGCAACTTTAGGGTTTGAATTTTGATCCATAGACAAACATAGGAAGGTCCTTCCACATCGTGGCTCCGATAAGCCTTAGAGAGGCAATGTTTTTCGATCTACAGGCAGATTAATCAACTTTATCATATATTTATGTATCGTTGTGAGTTGTTTGATCATTGCCGATAGGGTCAACTTAGAAATTTGAAAAGTCTCTGCAGTTATTTGTTGTTAATAAATAGTCAATAGACAGGTTGAATGTAATCGCATGTCGGGATACTCTCTCTTCTTTCATGCGACTTCAAGCACAGGGCCTTGGTCTTTGGGTGTCCAATACGTTGCTACCACGTGGAGATAAAAAATGGTCCGAACAATTCAGATTGCAACTCGACTTTGATTTATTAGGGGAAAAAATAAGTTTAACCATGGTCTGGGCTAGATCCAGCCATATCTTTTTCCACGCCAATCTTTCTTGGGCCAAGTGCATTTAGGAAATGGGTCCATAATTGAACTCATTCCCTGGACAATTATTATATGGTGGCCCATGGTCTATATCGAATCAAGCAATCGAAACTCTATAAGGTGAACAAAAGCAATTTTTAATTTTACAATTTGACAGGAAACATATTCTTTTATACATTACCCTAAATCTTGAATAGTTGTTGCAAAATGACATAATAATTAAAGAAAGTTTCAGGTTTCAGAGTGATTCAATTATTATTATTATTATTTTGTAAATTTGCTAATGGGTTACGCATTTGTTAACTGCTTATATCTAATGGGTTAAAGACCGTTAAGAAAGCTTCCAGTCTCCTCTTAGCAGCATGTGAAATGCAAGTTACTTTAATAAAAATTTGAAATAGGACTCTTTTAGTGAAATATATATAATATTTTTTGGAGATTTAGGCTACCTTCATTACTTCTGTTTCATGTTCTGTTCTTCTATGAATGTAACCCAAATATGTTGGCAGGAAATTGTTTTGAGAGGACTAGAGAGATTCTGCTAGCCCCCCAAACAAATCATCTTCAGGAAAAGCAGGTTTCACTAGCTGAGCTGGAATGATGGTGGATACAGGATTCTAATAATGAGTAATGGCAAATGGATATTGAAATTGGGCCAGAATGAAAAGGAATGAAAGGCACAGCTATCCAAAATAATTGGGTGTCTTTAGATCAACTAAAACAGTGAGGGGGTATAGCAATATTGACCCTTCAATTTAGATTCTTTACAATTCAGGTAGATTTGATTGATTGTTATCTTTAATATATTCCATCAACAACTTAATTACCGATTACTCAAACCAAGTTAACTCAGTGATCATTCCACTTCAAGTACCTTTTCCCGTTTCTAATCAGATATTGCCGCACTAGCTTTTCAAAGCAATGATCCAAAGGCATCAAAATCCTCAAGAGTCCAATAATGCCACATACACTATATATATAAAATACTACATTAAATGAATAGTTGCCGTGTGATTGGATTCACTCTTCGCTGTCGCTATCAGATTCCTGTGAGAACTTCGGCAAACCAAACTAAAGTCACCAAAAGGGCAATGGATGGAATTCATATAGCTACTCATCATCATTCCATTGTTTGTGTATCATGCTCATGCTTTGTCATGATAACAAACTACTTAAAAAGTATGCAAACCCTAATGTGTAAAAGGACTAGTGTCGTTCACACATTTTGAAAGACCTCCTGGCCTCACCTTTTTCTTCTCTAAGGTCTTTCTTTCTAATGGGTTAGGTTCTTCTTGCTTTCCTTCCTATCCAATCACAATGAGCTTTCTCATGTAATTTTAATTTCTTTCATGGTTTTTTGCGTTATTTTATGATATATAGCTTTTAGGCACATATTAATTATTGACAACAAGAATGCCTAGCTTCTTTTCTTTATAGTAGTATAAATAAATCCTTCCACTCTTTTTTTTTTTTTCTTTATGACTATATCCATAAATTAATCCTCAATCCTTAGTGAAAACAAGATCCAAATACCTGAAAGACAAAGAGCATTTGGATTCTTTATCATCTAAGCTAATTGAAACTTTAATGAAAAACAAAGTAAAATTCCCTACAAAAATTAGTTTATTGGTCAAAATCTCAAAGTATCAAACCAATGTGAAAAAAAAATCCTTAAAATTACTCAAAAAGAAAAATAAGTTCGCATGCAAAACTTAAGAATATCTTAACCGTAGTTAAAAAATTGGGCAAGCAATAGCATCATATGTTATGAATGGGTAGGTGGATGAATTTAATATAATCAATTCATAGTGAATGAGGTTAAAGAGTACACTAAAGTAAAAAGCAAATTAAGCAAATATAGTACATTCTTTCAAGTATTATTATAGTCAATCATTCTTAAGACTTCATTACTCGGATCTTCACTAGAAACTCCACCTTTTTTTTTTCTTTGCTTTTTAGTGATTCATTTGTTTATGCATAATATATATGCTAAGTAATATATAAAAGAAAAAATGTTTGTGGGAAATCCCTAAGAAATTTGCTTTCCTAAAAAGCAATGCAGCACCAGAAATATTCTCTATGTTGTCGGCCTTTCTTGGCTTCACATTTTGGAGTCTCCTAATTATGACAAAAAATGTACTAGAAAACATAATTATTATTATTCCTATTTCATTGTTCAAAATAAAAAAAAAAGCAAAATTATTTAATTACACTTTGAACACTCCTTACTTCAAAAAAAGAATTTCCAAAAATTCAGATCAAATAATTATTCATAAATCATAAATAAATCAACCATATATAGAACTTAAGTTAATTTTAAAATGACTTTAAATATTACTCAATCTGATTTTATTAAAAAACGAAGTGAAAAATAAATATCTCCCACATTTGCCCTATATATATCATAGGGCAGTGAGATTAGATTCATGAAATTTAGTTTAATTTAGCTAATATGCAGGCAGTTCTGACAAAGAAAGATGGCAAAGGACAGAAAGATTGGAACAATTTGGTTGGTTCTGAATTTTCTTGGCAATGAAAATCATGCCACCTTTTTTGCAACTTGCTGGAAACCCAGTTACCCCACTTAAGTATGTTTCTTTTCTTTCCTTGTTATTTTCTCTCTTTTCCTTTCAACAAAAATTAAAGAATTTTCTCTTTTCAATCAAGAATCAATTACTAAAATTAATCAACCATTATCGTCGACAATCACATCTTTTTTTTTTTTTTTTCATATCATTTTCATTAGATTATAAATCTATTAGCCGCCTTTTTGACACTTAAAATTAAGAAAAAGGAAGGAGTATATTAAAGAAATTGTAATTAATTAAGCACTTGAAAAATGATCATATTTATTGAGTATTGAGTTCACACTAAAACGAGACGAATAAACATAAAAAAAAAATTACATAAAATGAAGTCAATAAAAAATTTGATGAAAAGAATTATACATGAAATTACAACAAGGAAACATGTAATTTGTAACTAGATAATAAAATTTATAAAATTCTATTTGTCTAGAAAATTTCTAGAAAGTGATCCATAATTTCAATTAGGAAAATTATTTTTAAAGCACTAATAGATTGAACAAATTGATGATAATGCGCTTATAGCCTTCCACATTTCAAGAATAGAAAAGGGGTTAATTTCTTTTTTTTTTTTTCTCTTAGAAAGGCTTCAGGTATATAATTTCATGCAATGTCCCTCCATAAATTATTATTGAAGTGTTGTAAAGATATTTTTGGGCCAATTTTCAGTCACTTATCCAAACCAGTAAAGCGAAAACCAATAGTAACAAGAAACAATCAACTCTTCCAAGGTTGAAATTAGTTTGGGCAACTTCAAATAAGAAGACAAGGTCAAAGCTAGGCAAAAAAAAAATTGTCTAGACGTTATGACATGGCGCAATTTACTTGGCCATAACTCAAATTCACACTATTTGGGATGTGTCTAGGCCGGCCATAAACTCAAAGCCGCAAGAAAATGGACCCACCCCCAACAAAAAAGACAAACAAAGGGGATGTGGATCCCACATTAGAATTGCAATAGCATAAGTGGCTCCATATGGG